TAATCATTGGGATATTAGTTTCCCTTTCACATGAAACTGCTTTTTTCTCCATGGCTACTTCTACAACATCAAGTATCAGGCTTAAAAATGCAAAGCCTGGGGTGTGGTATAACGTTCTATGGTCCACATTTGAAAATGACAGGAAGACTTCACGATGCTTTTAAACACTTTTGTTTCAATTAATCATTACAGTGGGCAGAAGAAACGCTTATATTCACCACAGAACAGAAGCAGATAACGTAACCATGTCCTAAAGACTTGCGCAAGCTTGATAAGTTGTCCCACACTTGTATGTCATACCGTATGCTGATTAACTCTCATTCATGAATAGGCCAGTGATGCTGACTGGGAATTAAAGACATGAAGAAAAAATGTAACTATTAGCTTATTAATATAGAAGTTTTTTTTTCAAGTTATTCTATTTGCATGAATAATTGCAGGCACTCAAACCCATTCTATACTTGCTATGTAGTAAATACATAAAAAAAAAAGCATTTTAATCAGGAGTGGATGACAGAAATATAAATAAGCCAAGCAAATGAATATGATTCAGTAACAAATACAATTAAATACTGGAAGAAACACTGTATGTGGAAAATAAAAAATAAAAATAAAAAATGACTCATTTCATGAGAACAATTAAGAACAGGAACAGGTTGCCCAAAAAAGTTGTGAAATTTCTTTAACATTCAGCTGAAAGGAAGCACTAAGCAAATCTGTTTGAATTCAGTGTTGACCCTGCTTTGAGCAAGAGGTGGACAAGAGACTTCCCAAGGTCCCTTCCAACCTGAACAATCTTGTGATTCTGTAATTCTATGTACCTTGTAGGGTTCTAAATTAACAGTATCAGCTCCAGACAGATTTGCTGACGCATTCAAAAAGTAAGCAAGATGCTTGAACAGAAAAGTAATGGACTGATGAATATGACAGATGTATAATGCCTTTGTGTAAGTCTACCAATCTCCTCACTTCAAAAGAAATTGTGCAGAGCTTGCTATGAGTGAGGACTTGCTGTGAACTCAGAGGAGTGATGATTATCTGAAAAAACTCCCATCAAAACAAAACTGGAAAGATTAGGATTATGTACTTCAGCAATGTTTATAGGAAAAATACATTGGGATCTTGGTGTCCCTTTCTCAAAATGCAAAGCAAGCAGCTGTTTAGTCAAATTAAAAGATGGGAAGCCAAGATCTTAAAAAAGGAACTGTTTTCCCTATTCATAGATACCTCAAGACTTCGTCAGTGTTACATGAAAATCAAAAAATTAGCAAGACTCTTTAACTGACTATGTATGCATATACATTATAAAAATACGCAGAATTGTTATAACTAATAATCATAAACATTTAGGAAAGACAGGATACTAAACCAAGGCCTAATGTTCAGAGACTAGAATGATGCCTACTGTTTGAAAATTAACCTTCACAAGCCTTTCTACAGAGTTCTTGCTTCATCTTTGGAAGCATCTGATGCTAGCTACTGAAAGTACTCCCGGACAAGATGGTTATCAAGTGTCATCAGGCTTAGCAAGATAAAATATATACATAACACATTATACTGTCACATTTTTCTCCTTTTCATTTTGAGTTTCTCATTCAAAGATCCTGCATTCAATGCATCGGCAATATTTTAAATATGAAAGCTAGCATACCAATAACTTCAAGTGTGTCTACAATTCAATCATTAATGGGACAGAACCGCACACAAGGCACAGATATAGCTCCCCTGAAAGCTGTCAGAGCTGCCTGAAATTATTTGGATATAGCATCTGTTAAAATGGGATAATAAAATGGTTTGCGAGAAAGTGATGACTGAAGAACAGTGCTGGGAAAAGGCTGAAACGTCTCACTAACCATGTCACAAAATGCTTCATGTGGAGTTCAGCTTTATGTTAGATTTAATATATTTAACATATTAAAATATTAAATATTCATAATCTGAGTAGATGAGTTTTATGGTAGTGCTAGCTGCAGAATGATGGGTTTATTTTATGACAGCTTTTAAGCACTTTTCTTTTCACTCTGCACTAGGATGAAGGGTAAAAAGAGGAAAGGAGTAACCTCTTGAATATTTCACCAAACAGTTAGGTCAACATGGTAAGTTTCTCTCTCTCTCTCTCTGTCTGTCTCCTCCTCTTCACTTCTTCTCCTTCTTTTTGCTGTTCTCTCTCTCTCTCTCTCTCTCTGTTCTGGCCCACAGGTCCCTTTGAAAACGTCTCCGAATGTGATAAAAATCTAGTAAGTTTTCTATTGTAAATTTCCATCCAGTAAATTTTCCATCGAGAAATTACTCGATCCAACTAAAGTATCAAGTAGATTCAACTTGCTAGTTTAAAAACACTTTTAGTATCACCATAATAAAAATCTAGAAGCACATTAAATATTTCCTGGAAATGAATACATGATAAACTGAATCTAGCGTGGAAGACAATGACTGGATAAGTTCAAAAATGAACTTTCAAAACATCATTATATCAGAAACAGAAACTGCAGCCAAGATGACAGCTCTGCTTCTCTATTTCAAAGCAGTTCTTTCTTTTGTAGCATCTACAACATCTGACTGCTATGTATGTGCTTAGCTAGTCTGGGGAGGCAGTGAGATGACCAGTGATTTCCAGTGATTTTGGCTGCAATAAGAGATATGTAACAATATTAAAATTCTTAAGTCAATCTGAAAAAGGACATTTATTTACTTCCAACGGCAATACTGCATATTCATCTAGTAAAAGCTTCCCTTACCAACTAGATTAGCAGAACTGGAAAAAGAAAGGACCAATATTGCCTGTGGAAGATCCTTACTGCCTGTTCCTTGATAAGCAATGGATCCTCTGCCTAGACAGACTGCTGAAGACTGCAGCATGTCCTGAGGAACACAGCAATCTACCTATCTGCTTCTTCACACTTTTGGAAATAGAACTGCAGCTCACGGCAAACCATTCTAAGCAGTGTAAATATATAATGAGTCTACCTCTTACAGGACCCCAATTTTTTTTTAGCTTGAGCTCTATAAAGCAGAATACAGGATACCGATTTCATTCTCTTCCCATTGTCGCTTCAAGAGTACCTGTTATTTAGTTGAAAAGTTTATCATCTTATTCCAACTGGACAAGAAAAAAAAAAAGTCTCTTCATCAGGCTGTTTCAGTTAACCTCATCAGGAAGGCAGTTATCAAAATTACACTGAAATAAAACAAAATTTATTCCACCCACTAGTAAGCTGAGGTTTTAGCTAAGCTATCAGAAAAATGGTCTCTCAAACCAGACAGTTTCACTTTAATCACTTGTGAAATGTGGGAACTATTTCTGGGAAAATAGTGCAAGCTGAAGAAATGTGGTGTGTTATGTCTATGAAGACCAAAAGAAACTTAAATGCAAACCACAGAAATGAAGAAATGTAAAATGTACCTTCCCCGTGATCACTTGAGCCTCTCCCTGTCAGTAAATGATTTGTACTAATTTTATTTTTCTTAACTACTTTGTTCGGTTTTGCACAACTGTGCATGCATGCACGCACACACACAATACATGTTTTTTCCTCCACCCTTGACACAAGATTATTCTGTGGCAGAATAAATCTCCATCTTCAGACATTCTTTTTGACAGACAGGAAAAGTTATTTTTGCTCAGTTTCATTTCTTTACTGCCAGTGGTAGCTTCTCAGACAACTCTAAACCACTTCTGTACCTCCCTGGTGTGCATGCTTCAAAGATATATGGGTATTTGTCTTGTCATTCCCTTATCTCACCTTTGCCTTCTTTACACTTTTGGCTTCAAGGCTTTTTCTCCTCCCTCTAAACTACTCTTGTTTTGTTGCATCTCTAGACAGTCTTTCTCAGCATCTTTTGTGCAGTGAGTTGATAAGAAGTAGGGCTGCATAAATCTGTGTGCACAAATGCTCAGATGAAAAATGCAGTTCCAGATTGACTGACACAGTTTGCAAATAGAGACTGAATTCAGCAAACAGTTTCAGTCAAAATTTTGAGAGGAAGAAGGACGTGTAGTTGACAAAGCCGAAATGTTTCATTTTGACATTTTCTAAATTTAAAAAAAGCTCTTCATTTCAAACACTTTTAATCTAGAAACGTAGCCTATTAAAAAAAGAAATAACAAGACAGCCACACGTCCAAACTAAGCAAGGAATAAACGCCTGAAAATTAAACAAAATGTTTCAATCCACCAACATATTTCATGTATTCTTTAGTTTTAATAAGAGAAAGCAGTGCTTTTCTTCTTTGGTTCCTCTCCAGAACAGTGACTATTTTCCCCTCTCTGTTTAGTCCACACATCTTATAATTCTACTTGGAACTATGTCTTGTACTACTTTAGGGGAAACCTCTCAAGCACCACAAGACTTTCTTAAAGTAGTTTCTCTCTGTTGGATATCCAATATGTAATGGCATTCACTCTGTAAGTTACAAGGGATTACTGCTTTTTTTTTTTTCTTCTAATTTGTCCATCTTCATCTCTTTCAGGTTTTTCACTATTCCTACTTTTGATGTTCCTCCTTGAACTGTAGGCAATTTAATGATGACTATTTGCATTGATTCCAATCTACTTACACTCCTCAATTATATACTTATATTTCTGAATTCTCTCAGTCTGTGTAATTTGCTTGTGTCACTGGGATTTTCAAATGCTTTCAATTTTTGATCAAATTCAAATTTTGGATGTCTTGTGCACAGAGATCAAACTGACTCAGTATTGACTTCAAGGCTCAAGAATTGGTAACTCCTATAGTATGTTAAATTAGCAAAGAAAACAGCCTCATCTAAAACAATCAGATGAAAAATAGAACGTCAAAAGCAAAAGACACAAAACAAAATGAAGTATGACCGATCTGTAATTACATTACACCTTACATCCCCAGAAGCACAGTTACTTACAACAATGTTAGATGCATGTAAAATTCTACCATTCTGTTATCTGCATTTATTCAAATCAACACACAGGATTTGCGGCATAAGAGTCATACTTCAGATAATACGCAGAACTTTAACCTCACCTTTCCAGTTGACTTGGTTCCTTTCCAAATGCAAAAATAGCAAATAGTCCAAGCAGCAAGAAGGCATAATGCGAGTTCCCAGCGAAGATTCCCAATATGTTCAATTCCATCAGATATAGCTAGCACCCTGCGTCTGCCAAATAAACAAACAGATAGATAGATAAATAGATAGACAGACAGATAAACAAATCAGCCTCAACCAGGGAGACTCTTAGTTACTGACTACTAAGAACGCACCATGCTAAGAAAGAAGAGTCAGAAGGAATCAGTAGAATATTCTCGTTGGGTTTTACATCCAGTTACAACTGAGCAAATATTGGATTTTTCCAGTGACAGAATCTAAAAGATTTTAAATTATTCACTAGAGCAAGTTTTTATTAAAAAAAGAAAAACTCAAAAAAGCAAAATCACCTCTAAGTACTTCTGTTTGCCTCAATAACACACAGATATAAGCTCAAAACAAAACACTGCAGTAACGAGTAATTTGAGTTTTAACCGCTATTTTTACCTTGTAATATTTTTTATAAATATTATTTTTTTAAACGAAAAATGAATTGTGCAATTAATTACACTAAAATGTATTTAGGTTACCAAGTTGAATATTAACTCAGAAAATGTCCAATCTACATTTACCCATATGATCTTAATTCTCCTCTTTGCATTTGACTCAGTCATTGGCTGAGGCAATCATATCAAGGAATAAAAATTGTAGGAGTGTGTAATTCGAAACCATATCTAAATAGAACATAGTCAGCTCCTTTACCCAGACAGTTGGATAGGCAGCTGGATATGTGCCATCCAACGGCTACACAGCTTACAAAAAAGGAGGTGGCTCACAAACATCCAGGGAACAGAGTCAATTTATTCCCCACATACTGAATATCCATCTACTCTTGCAGCATGTCTTCACAAGGGGCAGAATTAAAGTTGGACCAGCAGTCAGTAATACATATTCAGTATCTTTTAGCTGTTACTGTAGCATCTTCTATGATGTTTTAAAAAATGCTTACATCAAATTGCATCCTCTTCCTCAAGAGGTCTTGAACAGTAGACTTTCCATGTGTAAGCAGTCACAATGAAGACCGCTGCTTTCACTGACTACAGAGAGAAAATGTGCTAGGTCTCGGTGCTACGAGGGGAGGAATTTGATCTAGTTCCTTCAATTTTCCCCACCAGTAGGTAGAGGATAAAGGGGAGTTCTTTCACCTGCCTCTAATGATGGAAAACAGGAGGCTGTTTTCCAGGGAGGATGTGAGCTGCAGCCGGTGAATATGCTTGAGAATAAATAATCTAACCATCACCAAGTCCTTAAGTTGGCCATACAGCTGCTGCAAAAATACTTCCAGCTTTCATGCCTTCTCAGTGGTACAGCTCCTGCTCCTGCTGCAGCACTGGCAGCCCTGGGGGCCCAGCCATTTAGAATGTCTATGCTAAAAAGTTCCTGTTCAGCTAAAGCAGGACAAAATTTAACAGGTAAAAGAAAAACCACTTCTCTAGCCTGAGGTTTCTCTCTTTACTTTCTCAGGAAGATAAATGAAGGTGTAAGACCTTTGTACTAAAAAAGAAAGAAAAAACGTTACAAGAACTTTTTCTAATGGAAAGTGTTAAGACTACCTAAATGTGAAAGTTATTGCCATCTCATCACCATGTCCTCCTTGCCCACTAACCAGCTTTATTCTGCAAAGCTTCTGACAACATCTAGTTAGGGAGCAAAGTGATCTGGTGTGGAATGGCATCAGCTAGCAATGAGCTGCAAAGCACCTAAAAAAACTGTCTTCAAAGTGCTGCAAAAAATGAAAAGAGGTAGCTTTTGATGAAGGATATGCGTTAATCAGGAAGACGAAACACATTTTTTATCTACAGTTGAGAGCTGAAAATAGCATCACTAAGCCACAATTATAAAGAAAGGCTGATGAAATGGATACTTAAAATTCAAGTTCTTCTATGCAATTTGACAGGTGGCGTCATGCTGAATTTGACTTAGGATGACCTCCATCCCTTTCTACAAATTGTCATCCAAAAAGGAAAAAAGCCTTCCAAATCTTAGTTCACCTTGAATATTCGGGTGTTACTTTCAAGAGAGCCAAGAACAAAACTGGTGTAATACGATTAAATACGGTCTATACAATAAAAGGCCAATGACTGTGTTCTCAGAGCAGACTACAGATAACCATGTTGAAAATCATGCTAGAAGTGAACAGTCCACCACAGGAGCCTGATGACCAAAGCAAGGAGCAGATAGTTTCAAAGTGATCTATTTTGATTGCAGCTACTAAGAGCATTTTCAACCATTTCGTCCATTTTATAAATGGACTAAAAAACCTCAAATTATAAATGACTTGCTTTCTTCCAAGGAAAAGAATGAGTCAGTAGAGATATGAATGCTCCCATTTGGGGGCCACTGCTTCCTTGCCGAGCCTCCCGTATCAACAGTTGTAACCCACCAGTAAGATTTCTGCTCTGCCAGGAAGGAGGAGAAATAGCTTTGACAAATCCAGCTGCTAATATCACAAAAATATTTTTTTCCAGAGCAAACTCTAATCTTTGCAACCCAATGACAAGAACGTAGCGTGTTATTAGCCTATTGGCGCACAGCATACCATGAGAGCCTGTGGTTAGAATGATATTCATCTACACAGTACATACTGGCAACATGAAAACCACCTAGTTTGTTGTGAGATGTATATTTCAAACCTTTCAGCAAGGAATAACAACTTCAAATTTCCAGTTTATAACCGGAATTCATGGAAAGGCAAATCCAGACATATCATCAATCTCTTACCATGAAAACAAAGATCCATAAATAACTTGAGAAAAAGTGGGGGCTAGATACCTCTCTCCCTAGAAAGGGACTTTTTTTCCCCTTTCTATTTGGGGTGGGGTGGGGGGAGCACAGGGGAAGAGGCAAGTACTACTGAGCGTAGGTTGCAGTTTGCTTCAAGTTCAGTTTGAATTTGACAAGTAGACTCAGTCAAAGAAATTCAGAAGACAAGCAGGGGAAGTCTAAGGAATTTAAATTATTGTTTTGCTTAGAAATATCCTAGTTTTTATTTTCAAATGGCATACTATGTTTTAAAATGAGTATTAACTTTTTAAGAAGAAGAAGAAACAGTAGAACAAAGGCCATATAATCAAAAAATGAAACAAAATGTTTGAGTTTGGGCCATAAGGGCTGTGTCAATTGGAAACAATTTTTTATTTACCTTTCTTTTCTGTGAAAAATAACAACAAACAAATTTCGTTAGGGTTTCAATCAAACCCTTTTTTTATTGGCTTCTTGGGACAGCAACAGAATTGAGGACAAGATAAACTAGTGACCAGCTATCTGGATCACGCAACACTCAATCCAGAACTACCAATCTCCCTTCCCACCTGTTGCTTTGACTCTGTGCGGCATTTCACACGTTCCTGTTTTAATATCCGTCGCATTTATTATTTTGTCCCCACTCTCAAAACCAAATATAGCACTGATTACGTTGCAACCCATTAGCTCTTTTTCTCCCTCTCCTTCCAGGCATTTCAACTCTCTTCTTCTATTAACATTAGTTATACTGGAAAAAATCTCTTCATTTTTAACATACATAGGTCTGGTGCAGTAGGACCCAGATCCTTGCTGGGATTCAGGAGATAGCATAAAATGAATCTAATCAGGTACACACACCCTTCCAGTCTTTTTCTTTCCACATCCCTCTACAGTATCTATTATGTTGCCCCATGTGCGTTCTTTGTTCCTTTAGAATTAAATAAGCCTAAAAAATAGTTTTCTAATACACTATTAGAATCAATACAAAATCCACTCATTTAGCCTCAACAGATTCCATTAAACTTCAGATATTTCCATCAGAAAAGGAGCACTTGTATAGGTGTTCCTAGCTGTGCTTGCTGCATCTATTGCTCCTACCTTTCATCTGCTTTTCATTCTCCCTATTGCAAATTCTTGGATAGAGACTGCGCTTCCCTTAGAGCCTGTCATGTGTTGGACACTGCCATATTACATCTAAAAAATTAGTAGCAACAACGATCCCGGACTTTTATATCTCTGAGTCACATACCATCAATTCCAAACACAAGAAAACATTCAAATGACATTTATGTGAATATATGCCTAAATTTGAGCAGCATTTCTTTTCCAAAAAGTGAATGTACAAACAAGAGCACGATAGCTGCATAACACAAAGCAGTGCTAGGGAGAAACAGGTAAAGTAATTCAGGTACTGTAAGCAGTAGAGCCATTCTAACAAGGCGCTCTGCCTGTGCTAAACCATGTTGATTCTCAGCACAAGGAATTACTTGCTTTAAATACATGTATTGTGGATACCGCTGCACTGCTTCGGTGCATGGGCTGACCTATTCAGAGACTCCTCTGCATAATACTCCGTCATATCATGTAGCTATGACCTTATCATTGTAGCTATGACCTTCACAACTAAACCTCCTACCCGACAAACCTCCATCAACAAGGAATGGCTTCTGGAGGATTGGTAAGTGTATTTGAGAAAGGCTGGCAACTTCCTCATTGAAGATCTGTGTACATTTGCACGGTTGTGAACTGCATCACAGCAGTCACTAATTCTCAGGAATGCTACCTGCCCAGCCTCACTGTAAATCTCCACACTCATGTCCTGCCAACAGCACCGCATAAGGCTACAAGCTCTCCTCAGCTTCCAGAGTCACGAATGCGTCAACTGAGATATCCATCTTTATCCAGCTGCTTTGCAGGGTGGTCACAGACCGGTATGTTACGGGAAAGAGATATAGAAAGCTTTCAGTAATAATTCCGCAGTGCTGACACGACACTGCAAAATAGCAAGCATGATGGAAGTATACGGCTAACACGTTGGCATAGTCAAGGCTCAAACAGACTGCAGAATTGCATTAGACCCACACCTAAGTGCATATCCAGTTTTCAAAGCAGCCCATTCCAGCAGTCAGTCACACGTATCACTATGCCGTTCTTCTCTAATGGTGTAACACCTTCTTAATAGGTAAATGCTATTATCATCTATCCTACAGATAGAGCGTTTCACATATCAAAAGGCAACTTCATTTTATGGACACAATTCTCGGTGAAGACTTGAGGATTTTTAGAAGTAATCAGTACCTGGATGCTGTCTGCAGGGTGGTACTTAGAAA